TAGCTGAATAACTTATTCCTTCTACTGTTTAAATATTCAGTTTCTCCCTTGTTGATACTACAGTACATTCTTCTGAAAATTATTCATTCTCTTCTTTCAGTTCCGCCAGAGAGCACTTCATAGACGACATTCATCCCTTGAAACTCATTACAGTCAGTGAAAAAGAGACAGATGTCCAGAAGTACACAGCAGGTACATGCATTTGCTGAGTATGCAGTCATGCACAACATGCATGCGCCTTTTGAACATTCGGATGGAATTTTCAGGAACAATTAATATTAATAATACCACAAAATGCACAAGGAAAAATCTAAATAATACTCACACAGCCTTTTTAATATTTGAAGTCATTTCTGCATCCTTAGTATCACCTGCATCAAAATTTGCAAAGCAAAGGATTTCACCTCAACACACATAGACATGTAATGAGTGTATTTATGTATCAGCAATTGTTTTAGAATACAATCCTGTCATGTATGTTTCTCTTCTTTTCCAGATTCTGCTGTTGTAAACTTGAGTAATGGCCACAGTGGTGATAGACGCAAATTTAAAAGCCACAGGAATGAGTCGGCCAACCCAATAATACCACAATGTGCTGATGCAAAAGTGCACAATGAATTCAAGGACAAAGCATCACAACAGTCGTCTCGCAATGACATCATCGTCATAGAAAGCCACTCCATCAATCATATTTCAACTCTTACGGTGTTTAAAGGACATCAGGGAAACAATCAAATGCACAAATCTCATAAAAAGAACAGAAGCTCTGACCGACAAAAGTATTCAGTCTCCGCTAACGTGAAATCTGAGTGTTTTCCGTCAAATAACCGACAGTGTGAGCTAGTCCCTGTCTGCGTTCACGACGCAAAACCTCAAGAATCTCTCCTTCCAGTGGAAAATCAACAACCAGACCAGGGAACCAATCAAACGCCTGATAAACCGGTGGGAGGAGACTGTGGGCGGAGCCAAAGTCCCAAAACAACATTTGAAATGGCACATCTTTGCCAAGCTTATGGAATACAAGAAATGCCCAATCAATCGCCAGACGCTCAACCAATCACAACTTCTGACAATCAATTGACACCCACCTCTGACCAATCCAAACCAGAGCTATGCATTTATGAGGAAATCCAGTTTAGCCCGCCAAGATCTGTAGATGTTGAAGATAATCAGAAGAATCAAACCAGTGGAGATGAAACACAACCATCAAACCTCACTGTAAACGAGTCTGGACCGTCTCACACTGAGGTCAATGGGGAGTACAGAACAAAAAATACAGAGAAAAGTCAACCAGGAAGTGATGTTACGTGCAAGAGAGGGAAGCAGAAAGTGTACAGCTCCTTAATGAAAAGCTCAGTAATAAATCATAATGTCCAGGACTGCCGGCCACGGATAACCGTGCTCAGCACCAGCCTGTAGACTAGAGAGCGGCTGCAGAAAGTGTGAGTGAATGAGGCAATAAGACACAAAAAAAGAGAGAAGAGTTGGAATATCTGAAGTGGATTGATAGTAAATGGTAAGATTAAAGTATTGAATAGGGAATTAAATCCCCTTTGCCTTCAGAAAAGCTTCAAACCTTAATGGAATATAATCATATCATGCTTATCTCTGTGTGTGGAGATCCTGTCTGATTAGGGATGAAGAAAACTATATTTCATGTGAAACTCATAAACTGCCGTTTTAGTTGAGAATGGTGCTGATTAAACACTGGTCATTTTTGTGTCATTTAGCAACTGTCATAAGAAGAATTCATAATTTTTATACATGCACACTAAATTTCTTTGACTACTAAGATAATACCTCTAACTGCATTCAAACTCTTAAGGTTATTAATTGACCTGGAAATATGCCTATTCCTTACATTTCTACATGTGCATTGATCAATTAAAAAACTTTGTGATTTGTTTGACCAATGATAGTCTCATATTGTAAACACATCTGTGGCTTATTAATGGCTTTCTGTGATTTTGCCAAGTAAGACAATGTTCCTGGATCAACATCCTTGTTAGACTTCCTATAAACAGACAGATTTAAAGGTTATCAGTTTCCTCTTAAAAATTAAGACTGTTTGCCTGACAGAAATTTTGACTCCAGAAGCAAATAAAAGTGGTTGATCCAGGAAAAAGTCATAATAATATATTAGAAGTGATTTATTAAAATAACTTTGTACTTTCATTGCAGTGTTATGTGATGCTGTTTTTGTTGTTATCTAATTAAATCATCTCATGTTTTGATCCTACAAATTCTTTTATTATTGTATTTACCAACAGCAAACCCAGAGAGTCACAATGCTAACATGTAAATATAAAACTCTGATCTGGATATAATATATGATATGCATAGGAAACGCTGACTCAAAATCATTCACTCAGTTCTGAAAAAATGAAAGTTTCCTCATCCTTTACTCATCCATATGTTACTCCAAATCCATACGATTTACTTTCTTCTGTAGAACACAAAATACGTTTAGCAGAATGTCCAAGCTGCTCCTTTTCCATAAAAACGCCACTGGTTACGCCTGTCATGGCCCAGAACTGAAGAAAGTATCCTAAAAAATTATATTATAATAGTAGTCCACACGACTCGTGCGCTACATTACTTTCTGAAGCCGTGTATGAGAAACAAACCGAAATTTAAATCGTAAAATCTCTTGAATCTTCTAGCGCGTGATTGTAAATAGATATTTTGAATCTCAGTGACTGTTTTGATTCACCTCAGTGACTCGGATCGCTTTCGAATCTGTTCACTAAAGGAATTCGTTCAGAATCCTTCACTGATTCGTTATGTCGCTCCTGCAGTGCAGGGCCTATACCAGTGGTTCCCAACCCTGGTCCTGGAGGCACCCCAACACTGCACATTTTGCATGTCTCCTATCTCTGACACCAATTTCAGGTCTTGGAGTCTACTAATGAGCTGATGACCTGAATCAGGTGTGTTTGATTAAGGAGACATGCAAAACGAGTAGTGTTGGGGTGCCTCCAGGACCAGGGTTGGGAACCACTGGCCTATACGACAGTAGCGGTTCAGCTGGTTCATTCAGTGGCGCTCCGCGTTCAAATTAAAGGGATCAGATTTGCATATTGCCGCCCAAATGTTCACGCAAAGAAAGAAGGCGTAACTTTGATTCTCTAAAATGGGTAAACATGATAAACCATTTTGTTGTTTGTCAACCGCCAATAAAATTTCAAGAAGAAGAAGAACTTTGATTCTTGCTATTGTTGCTGCCGCCACCATGTTGTGAAGACGCTGTGTTTGTTTCTATAAAGTGGGGCAATTCCAACTTTGCAAGGATAGTCTGGCGCTTCTGACTCACAGTAAGTACGTTTTCATATTTAAAGAATTTGCCACTGATAGGGCTGGACAATAATTCAATATCAATATGTATCGCGATATAATTTTTTTCAATAATGG